TTTCTTGGTAAACGATACCTATACGTATAATTTAACACAAATTAATTAAAATGGAATAGAGTACCTATTGAAGTATGTACAATGTACAATGTTCTTTGCCGGGAATTAGATTGAATGTTTGAAAACATAAAAAAAACATAAAAACACCGTGATCGTAGGACCTACATCTAACGGCAATAAAAAATACAATTATTCCCAAAATTCGTTGAGAGAGTAACACCCGATATTATTTTTGTTTGCCTTAATAGTAAACACAACCGATATAACTTTGCTTTTGTTACATTACAATTATGAAGGTCAAATGTACATTAGGCTGGATTAGTCTTATAGTTTTACAGCTCAATATTAAACAAAAAAAAAATGTTATAATACACTAAATGTAAGCATAAATTTAGTTTAGTTTAGTTCAGTTCCGATTCCTTCAGAGCAGTAATGAAATAGTTTTAGGCAATCAATCACCCTGAAGACTCTGCTAATGAAGGAGCTGCACTACTTATTTCTAATAGGATATCTCATTCTTCTTTCTGCCTCATACCTCAAACAAGCTACACATTTTTGCCTCTTCCATGAACACTGTCAATGAAAAAACCAACTCCATAGTTATATCTATAAATAATAAATGTGTTAATTAAGTTAATCTCGAAATAAGACAACACATCATAGAGAAATGACGGGCCCGCAATCAATAACAGCGTACTCACTATTCACATGATGGACATAAATACAACTCTCCTTGAAATAAACACAAAAGACATCTCAAAAAATACAAGAATGACAACAGCTTTGCCGACTCTATTAAAGAAAAGGCCGAGTTGCTGGCTCAACATTTCACCAATTTTTTCAAACCCCACTCGATATTCCCGGATTTCTTTTCTCTACTTTCCTGCAAGACGTACCACCCCTGAAGAAGTGTCATTAAAAAATTTAAAGACCAACAAATTACCAGGTCACGATCTCATTAGTAATTAAAAAGTTAAAAATCTGGCGCCTAAAACAACCATACTACTCATCTAAAATTACAATGTCATCTTTTAAAACGAGTTATTGTTCAATGTTTAATGGTTTGTTTTTTTTAAACAAGCACTTTCTACATTACAACGAAGCTGGAGTTAATCAATATTTAAGTTATATTTTTTAATGTACTATACAATCGCATATGAAACTGTGCAAGTAACCATAAAAAAATAATATATTCATGTAAAAAGTTATTATGGATTTAAAAAAGTGTTAATTTTATGTTTAATCAATATTTAAGTAATTTTGTTTAAATCTATTATTATAATAACGAGTATGAAAAAGAAGCTCTTAAAACTTCTTTTATGATTTAGATTAAGGTGAGGGAAAGCTTACAGAATCAGGTAATCCACATTAATTAGAATTTAATCTTAAACAGTTATAAAATAGTGCAATTCACATAATAATTGATTTTAATTGAAAAAAAAAATAGTTTTATTAATAATTGAAGAAATGGATTAAAAATATGTGGTAATTTCATGTAAAATAATTTTTTTTAGAAACCGTTAGAACGTCATAATAAGCGGAAGGTAGAGGTAATTACTATTTTATCTTAAACTCTACACTACTTTGGGTTTGGAAACATTTTCGTATAAGGACTAATATATATGTACTATACACTGTAATTTAAAAATTAAAAAAAAATTCAAACATTTTTTAAAATTAATTATGATTATGGCAACAAAAGTTTTTGTGTTATATTTAATAATTTGCTTTTTTAAAACAAACACTTTCTACAATCAAAGAGGAGTAGAGGGTTATCGATAATTAAATTATTTATTAAATAGCATTATTAAAGGCTTATTAAAAAGTAAAACTTTTATTTTACACTTACTACATTTTAGATGAAAACATTTCAAATTTATAAAAAATGAATATGTTAAAAATTAAAATGGATTTAAAACCTGAATGAATTTTATGTTTAATATTCTGTTTTTAAGGTGATAAAAGAATTGATCGAGGAAGAGGTAATTCATAATTAATATTTTATCCTAAACAGTTCTGACAGTAGCGCTATTTTGGGTTTAGGACATTAAAATGTTGTACTCGTATAATGACTATTTATGAGTTCTATACAAAGTTCAATTAATCACTTTTAACAATGTGATTCAAACAAAGTACAATAATTCTGAAAATCGGTTGAGAGAGTAACACCCGATATTCTTTTTATTTGCCTTAAATAGTAAACACCACCGATATAAATTTGCTTATGCTACATTTAAGTTATGTAGGGCAGATGAAAATTATGCCGGATTAGCAATATAGTATTACAGCCGAATATTAAAATAAATATTATAATAATATATACTACATGGAAAATTCAATTTCAACGCAGAGCTGTTTTTATTTTCGTTTGTATGTACCTTCAAAAACTCTAGGTTGATAAACTTGATCAGCAAGTCCATTAATCAGTAATATTTGTGTCTAGTTTGCGTTTTGGAGAGGGCGTGTAAAATTTGGAAATGTTCCATTCTTTAATCTGAAAAATAGAGACCCCCCCCCCAAGAAAAAAAATATTACTGTCAATTTTTTATATTTAAATTTGATAAATTATGAATTCGTGAAAATTGGCCTTGATCGTGTGAATATTTTAAAACTTTTTGTCTACTTAATAGTGGAATAAAAAACATGTGTTCTCAGTAATAAAAAAAAAAAAGATCCGTACTTATTTTATGCCTTGATCTCTTATACATAACGTAAACATGTTCAATGTGCCTATTGAAAAATATTCTTATTTGCTAGGAAATGAGTGTTTTACATCGCATAGATCACCCTGTACACCAAATTTTTAGTTTAGAGCATTTTTAAGTGTTTATTTTATGTTTTATACTTGGTTTTTAAGATGAAGGACATTGAGATTCTGAAAAAGGTAATCTATATTTGAATTTTATCTTTAACAGATATAAATGTAGCAGAGTTTACGTTATACTACATTTTATTTGATAAAATGTTAAATAATTATAAAGAAACATATGTGTTTAAAATTGAATTGTATTTAAAACAAGTGTTCATTTTACATTAAATGCTTTGTTTTTAAGGTCGACTATGATCTGTACACGAAAACGGTAATCTATATTTAGTAATTTATCGTAAACACATTTAAAGGCCATTTGTTTAATTAAAGCATAGACATTAATTCCGTATTTATAAAAATTAAAAATGTAAGTGCGCTATGTTTGAAACCTTCCAAATGCAATTTTTATTTGTGTAGGCAATACGTTTTAAAATTAAATAATAAACGATAAAAATTGGCAAAGTTGACTGTAGTTTAATAACTATACAAACTTGTATATAAGTCTTCATACTTAATACTCTATTAATAAAAGCATTAAAATATTTCATAAGAAAATGATTTTATATATTATTTTAGAAAGGGGATGATTTTACAAGGACAATGCGACTCCTCAAACGTCAATATGGTGTCGACCTATATGATGATAACCCAGGTAAGTAATTAGTTTAAAAACAAATTCGAAAAACTATTTTTTATAACTGCAATCATTTGCTGTATTCATTAAAATTGTTTCATTAGAATATTTTACAAAGATAGTTGCCGAAGATGATGGGTACATGAAAAACGTAATTTACATTTATGTTTTATCTTTGACAAGTGTATAATATAGTACATATATTAATATATTACATGATATATTAATTTAATCAATGTACATTTTTTGGCTTTTGGTTATGGTTCTTGAATAAGATATTGAAATATTATTTGTTTTTTTAAAGACTTTTTATTATTAATTGAGGGCTGACAATAATGTTTATGTTAGCCGATTTCTTACGGCAAAGAATTGTAACACTGACTTTTTACTAAAACTATAACCAAACTAATATTTGGACGCTCTCATTATTGTTAGAGAAAATAAGTTCCTTAAATTTCAACTGATAAAATATAAACAATATTATATCAATTTAAACTAATATCAATTAAAAAAAATTGTACGCTGTAACAATTATCAAATTAAAAAACTGCCAATATTGATGTACATTTTTAATAAAATAAATAAAAAAGTAATGAAGCCAAAAGTTATTTTAAATATTAAAAAAAATGTGTTTAAATGAAATGTATTATGAAATATGACAATGCTAACTATATATTTGTAACTATATACACAATTATATAATTTATAAGTTAATAGGATTATAACTAGTATTATTATCTAATCTAATAGTGTAAAATTATCAAAACTTAAAACTATACTAATATAGGTATAAAATATAGAAATAAGTTTTATATAAATACTTTTATAATTATTTAATATTGTTTAAGATGGGGGAAACGGTCGATAGGCGATTGCGAATCCGCGAACGCCAATTAGGTATGTAATCAATGACTGTTTTCCATGGTAAAGTATATATTTAAACACAAATTTCGAAAAAACTATTTTTATACCATATTTATATTAATTTGTGGTGCCTAATACAATAAAAAATATCAAAATTAAAACCGTACTTGTACACAATGACTTGAACATGATTTTGGTGTATTCATTAAAACTGTAAAACTCTATTTCGGATCTAATTAAAACATTTTACAGGTATTCCGATAGCTGGAGATAATGCGGAGTTAATTGCAGAAGATAATAAAAACGAGAACGAGGTAATTCATAATTAGGATTTTATCCCAAACAGATGTAATAGTAACGCAATTCACATAATAATGTATTGTTTTAACCCAGGGATGCATATCGATACACATTTTTGGTTTTTGAAGTAGATTTTGAATGATTTTGTGTTATTACCCAATTTTAAAGACCTTTTATAATTTAAGGACTGACAGTAATAGTTACATAAGCCAGTTTCATATAAAAAAAGAAATTTTAATACTTACTTTTCACCAAAGATAAACTTACTTATAACCTAATTAATATTAGGAAGCTCGAATTATTGTACAAAATAAATATGTATTTACATTTAAACTTATGCAATACATACAACTTTTTAGTTATTTAAACAATTATAAAAAAAAATGATTTTAGTATGTTGCCGCAAGGAAAGAAAAACTCCTTGCATTAAAGTCAAAACCAAAAAGCAAGTTCATTTCGTTATCCCGGCTTCGTTTACACAATAAGGAGTGAACGGATACAACCATACACAGACTCATTTTTTTATTTAAATAAATATAGACATAATATATAGCTATATTAATTCTTTTATGTTTATTAATACAACCGAAACTTGATATTATTTCACCATCGCTTCATTATACTTCACAAAAATTTATTCTTTATAAACCTAGATTTTTATAGCCACCTGATACTAGTTTAAGACTGTATAAAAACATCTTAATTGAAATTAAAATGTTTAAAATTAGAGTAACTTTTCAATTACTAATAAAAGTATGGATATTAAACAACGATTAAAATATATTTAAAAAAAAACAATATATCTTTTCTTTTAATTAATATATTGGATTGTATTATATATTTCATTTGCTTAATATAGTTGTTATTAAATATTTGAAAATATGTTAAACAATTTTTTTCTTTAGATACTCTCGTTTATTATAACAATAATTTTATCCTTACTGATAGATGATGTAGTGTAATTGTGTAAGTTGTAATATTATTGTATTGAACCATAAACTTGGCAAAATAAAAAATTAACAAAAAAATTCCAAATAAGGCTTTTTTTTTTTAATGATGACACATTTATTCATTTTTGACGTTTTTTTTATTGAACTGTTTTTTGAAGTATCTTTATTTATTAGCTATAATTTTGTTTATTTGTTTTATAAATATTGTATATTTTTTTTTGTATGTTGAACTGTTTGAATAAGTATTGAATACACCACACTAATACGTGTTTAGTCCTTATTTCAATAAATCATTTTAAAACACAAGAAAAATAAACTACACATTTTACATCATGATTTTAACACTTTCCCGTGTAAGAAAATAAATACACTATTATTTAGGAAAATAATACCGATAGTATACAAATGGTATAATATTTTTAAAAGGTTTTGAACATATTATAACAGAGACAGTACTGTGGGGTCAGGGCATAGTGGGAACGGAGCATATTATAACTGAAGGTGTTAAGATCACTTTTACATAAACGCTTCAATCGAATCTGTACACAGAAATATCGATAAAAGCATTATCATGACGAAAATTTACCTAAAATTGTATTTTTAGTAAAAGCAATGTCACATCATTAACGGGTGTCCGAAAGGGATGATTAATTGCCCTAGGCGGTTATATTTTTCCAAATTGCATACAACTACATGGAAATACATAATTTGATTTAAAAACAAATACTATATGTGTATTGACTGTACAGCTAAAGATTAATGTACTTGTACATTATAGCTATTATGATATAATTATAAAATATGCGACACTGTTTAGATGCGATTAGGGTTGATCATTTACTGTAATAATTTAGTGTGATTTTTTCTCATATATCATAGCATTACAAGCATAATGAAAATATTTTGAACTTTATTAACTTGTAATTTAGTGTGCAAATGTTTGCTCACCTTAAAAATGATTTTGCATTATCATATGTACCAAATATTCCAAAACTGCTGGAAAAGTTGTTTACTGAGAAGAGTAAACATTTTATTAAACAGTAAAAAATTTTGACATTAAAACATAACCAAAACGGTTATCAGCAAACCGTTTATACATTGTACGATTATGGGTATACTTAAAATTGTATATTGTTTTATTTATTCTCCTTTAAATTGTTACAGTTCCTTTTTATATGTATTAAATTAATTAATATTGGACGAATATGATGCAAAATATACAATAAATATGAGAATTGAATAATGTGGTCAAATCATTAATTTATGTTGCATTTTATATAGCAATAATATATTTTAAGTTATTTTTAAAAATGTACAAATTGATTATAAAAAAGTGTATTGGTAAATATACTTATATTTTTGGCTTTAAGTTATGGTTTTCGAAACAGATTTTAAATTATTTTCTGTTTTATTAACTAACTTTAAGGATCTTTTATTAATAATAAAAGGCTGGCAGTAATAGTGATTTAATTGATGCCCAAATTTTTAAACAGTAATCACAAATTTATAAAAATTAAAAATGTATTTAAGTTTTTTTGCTTATGTGTATTTAATTCTAATATTGTGTTGGGTATTATAGGAATTACATCAAGACTGAAGAATTATAAAATAAGTGCTAGACTTGTTCAATAAAGATCATCGAAAGGAAATTAGATTAATAATGGGATTTAAAGGTTTCATTATGTTTTTCATAGGTTTTAGTAAATGTTGAAACATATTAAATATAATAGTGTAGATATTTGAAATATATACACAACATAAATAAACATTTTAGAACAATATCTAAGTACAACTGTGACCTCATTTAATACACCTACTTGACGCATTTACGTAGCAAAACTGTTAGGTTTGGTAAAACACATTTTTATTTGGTTTGTCTTAAGCATATTTTGTAGACTCTGGTTTTACTTTATAGATACACGTTATTTCTTTTCATTGTCTTTATATACTACATTTCAGTTAAAATCATTTTTAAGACTTTTTAAAAAGTTTTGAATAATTTAAAAAAAATGTTTATTATGTGTGTAAAACAAGTTTTTGCGTTGTGTTTAATAATTTGTTCTTTTAAACAAACAGTTTCTACACTCTCAGAGGAGCAGAAGGTAATGGATATTTAAGAATTTTTTTTAAATGTACTATAAGAACCCATATAAAAAATTGTAACCGTAGCTACATTACTACTGTATTTTAGTTTAAAAAAATTTGTATATTAAAATTTATTATGCATTAAAAGAAGTATTATATTTATGTATAATACTTTGTTTGTAAGACGGAGGTCATTAGACAACTGGAAAAGGTAATCTATTTGTAGATTTTTTTTTTAATGTATTGTTAAAACACGTGTTAAACAATTTAACCGATTAAAAACTAAAATGGACTTAACACAATTGTTAATTTTATGTTTAATACTTTTTTTTAAAAAAGCGATACAACATGTGTTTACGGAAGAGGTAATAAAACCATATGAGGTATTTAAACATATGTAAAAATACATAAAACTCATATGATAATGTATTGTTTTAACACAAAACTACAAATCGATGGACATTTTTGGCTTTTGGTTAATGATTAGTATGATTATCCAATAGTATAAAATAGATATTAAATATATACGTCTAAATATTTGAATATCTTTTTAGAATGGGAAAAATGTTAAAATCCAAAAATCCTTAACAGGTGACGCACAGCCTGATCTCCATGGTAAGTAATAAGTTACGTTTAAACATTAACTTAACAAAAAAAAAAATGTTTTATACCATATTTATATTGATTTGTGGTACTTAATACAAATATAAATATAAATATGAACCACCGCACTTGTACGCAACGACTGGAACATGATTTAGTTGTATTCATTATAACTGTTTGACTGTATTTCGGAAATAATTTAATATTTTATACAGATCGTTCGCTTGCCTCAGTCTCAGCTGAAATAGATAAGGTAATTCATATTTTGTTTTTTTCCCTAATCAAATATGTATTTAGCGCAATATACATGAGTTCAGATGTGCTCATGGAAGAGGTAATTCATGTTTACTCTTTTATGTTAAACAGACATAAAGTAGCGCTCCTTTGTACGCTATTTTCGGTTTATGTACCTAAACTGTTGGATAAGGACTTTTATATAAGTACCATGTAACATTACAAATTTTGTAATAAAAACACAATAAATTGTAAACATATAAAGCAAACTTCTAGTTTACACTAGTGTTTTATTTATTAAAAAACATGTAATAGCAATACAGCAAAACATTGCTGTTTTTCAAATAACATTGTCTTTTGCGTTTTAGTTCCATACGTTTTTTTTACATAATCTGAATAACATTTGCAAAATAACGTACACTGTTTGTTATCGGTTATTTTTGCTGTAGTATGAGTTTTAACTCTACTATAAAAACGCGTATGAAAAAAAGCTTAACCGTAATTACCTACTATATTTTAGTTAAAACTTCTTTTATTATTTAGATGCAAATTTCAATACAGGAAAAGGTAATCCATATTAAGAATTCAATCTTAAATAGCTATAAAAATAGTGCACCTCACATAAGAATACATATTATATGAAACAATTTTTTTAATTAAAAAAAACATATAAGTTAAAAATTAAAAAGGACTAAATGTTTAATAATTTGTGTTTAAGAAGGAGGAACTTGAGCGCCTAAAAAAGGTAATCTATATTTAGAATTTCATCTTAAACAGAAGTAGCGGAACTCACACAATATTACATTTTATATGAAAAAGTTCTTTTTAAAATTTTTTAAAATATATGTATATGTTTAATATTAAAATGGATTTAAAAGAAGTGTTAATTTCGTGTTTAATAATTTGTTCTAAAGGAGAATGATGCTTTGTCTGACGAACTGGTAATCCATATTAAGAATTCAATCTTAAATAGTTATAAAAATAGTGCACCTCACATAAGAATACATATTATATGAAACAATTGTTTTAATAAAAAAAAACGTATGTGTTAAAAATTGAAAAGGTCTAAATGTTTAATAATTTGTGTTTTAGAAGGAGAGACTTGAGCGCCTAAGAGAGGTAATCCATAATTAGAATTCAATCTTAAATAGTTATAAAAATAGTGCTCCTTACATAAGAATACATATTATATGAACCAATTGTTTTAATAAAAAAAAACATATGTGTTAAAAATTAAAAAGGACTAAATGTTTAATAATTTGTGTTTAAGGAGGAGGAACTTGAGCGCCCAAGAGAGGTAATCCATACTTAGAATTCAATCTTAAATAGTTATAAAAATAGTGCTCCTCACATAAGAATACATATCATATGAAACAATTGTTTTAATAAAAAAAAACATATGTGTTAAAAATTAAAAAGGACTAAATGTTTAATAATTTGTGTTTAAGGAGGAGGAACTTGAGCGTCTAAAAAAGGTAATCTATGTTTAGAATTTTATCTTAAACAGAAGTAGCGGAACTCACATAATATTGCATTTTATATGAAAACGTTTTTTTAAATTTTTTAAAATATATGTATATGTTTAATATTAAAATGGATTTAAAAGAAGTGTTAATTTCG